CATACATGAGCTCTCCTTGCCACATTGAGATGATCCTTACTGAAAAAGAGCAGATTGTTCCTAAACCAGAAGAGGAGGTTGCACAGAAGAAAAAGGTAAACTACTTTCATTGGTCAGTTTTGGGTTTTTTTTTTTTTACATATTTCGTTATATCAGAACTATATAATTATCTGGCTTTTTTATATTTCGTTATATCAGAATTATAATTATCTGCTGATGGCCCCACCTATATGTCCATAGCCACTTTAAGTGCAACATGTGCGAAAAATGGGCCCTTCCCCTCTCCCCACCTCTCCAAATAAGCTTGTTTTCAGTAACTGAATCCCATTCAGTTCTTTAAGCTGGGAACCTGGGACTGATTCTGGACTCCTTCCCTTTGTGCCTCATGAATTTAACTTCTATTGATTTTGTTGCTTAAATACGTTGTCTTCCATTCTTTTTTTTTTTTTAAGATTTTATATTAGAGTGAGAGCGGGGGGTAGGGGCAGAAGGAGAGAATCTCAAGCACAGAGCCCCACTCCAGGCTTGATCTCATGATCCTGAGATCATGAGCCAAAACTAAGAATGGGACACTTGACACTTAACCGACATAGCCACCCAGATGCCCCTGTTGTCTTTGTTCTTGTTGCCACTTACACATGGTCTGCCTGCCCCCAGTCTTCACAAACTCCCAGCTTACTCTAATTTCCTTACATCTGTCCCTCCCCCCATGCCATTTCTCTATGCCAAAGGACTCCCTTTTACATTGATGTTTCCTATTTTTTCCTGAACTATAACCTATTCAAGATGTAGTGCGAGTTTCTCCAGGAAACTTGTAACAGACCTTTTATTTTTGTTTCTTTCCCAGATATCCCAGAAGAAACTGAAGAAACAAAAACTTATGGCCCGGGAGTAAGTTCTGCAGAATAAATGCAAATAAAAATAAAAAGAGAACGTTGGTGGCCTTTTATTATTAAACATATTTCAAGTATCTTCGCAAAATGGATCAAATGAGTTTTCTTCCGATAAAACTAGAAAGATTATTCTGTTTGTCCTCTGCCATTAATTTTGGTTCATGAATTTCTTGGTGCTTTGCATAATGGAATTTGAGCATGGGCATTTTTCTGAATTTTTTTCCAACCACTTTGAGATTGAGCACATTGTACGATTAACCCAATTACAGTTCAGTAGTTTTTATTACATTCAATTATGCACCCATCGCCAGGCAAATTTTTGGACATTTTCATTATCCTAAAGAGGAAGCTTGGCAGTGGTTTGCCGTCCCTCCTTACCAGACCCTATAGTTTTGAGCAACCATTATGTAGATGTCTATGTAGATAAGCCTTTCCTGGACATTTCATGCAAATGGCCCTTTGTCACTGGCTTTAACTTTGCATAACATTTTCATTTCTCTTGGGTCTCTAACCAAGAGGCAAAGCTGTCATACCAACTGTGAGGGTTCCAATTTCTCCAGTTGGCTTACCGCTGTCCTAGTCGGTGTAAAGGGGTATAGCCGTTTATTTTAAACGCTTAAAACAACTTCCGGCCCTTTTCGGCTGACGTGTCGAGCCACAGGGGATGGATAACATCCTCTCCCTCACATGGAAGTGCAGTAACCTTCCCAATGCTGGTGAACCACTGGCACTGGCGTTAATCTTTCCTCAATGTCTTGGATTTTACTCCAGCATCCGGGACAGGAAAGCCCTGCACTTACTCGCCATCTGCAGGGTTTGAGCTCTTGGTGGCTGCGCCGGAAGCCGGGCCGCGCCTCCGCTTGGGCGTCACCGTTACGTCCTGTGCGTGCTCCGGCTGACGGAGGCGCGCCTTTGTCGGCCACTTTTGCGGTGCCCATTGGCTCTGCGGCAGCACGTCCCTCCCTCCGGAAGTGCGGACATTTACACTCGGACCCGTGGTCGAGGGTGAGTGGGGCCGGGTGGGCTCGGGCTGGCGGCTGGGGGTCGGGCGGAGGTGGGCGGTGGCCTTGGTGCTGTGGAGCCGCTTTGCAGGCTCCAGCCCCGGCGGCGGTGAGCGAGCCCCACCCGCTCGCGGTTGGACTGCTCTGGGACCCCCCGCGGCCCGCCGGCGCTCTCCCGGTACATCCTGCTTCGCCCTCCAGACGCGCGCCCCTGCCGCCTCTGTCCACGGCCACCCACCTGCTGCCCTGCGTCTCACGTCTCACTGTCTTTCTGTGCGTTCATTCTCTTCCTTGGCCTGTATTGTCGGCTTCATTTCGCTCTCCTGTCATCTTCACCACCGTTCGCTCTTACTCTCTCCTATCTTTTCAGTCGTTGTCTTGGACTCAACCTGCCCCGTGAAATAATGTGCTAAACTGGGTTACTTGAAGGGAGGTGGCGTTGCCCCACGGTACCTGCCCGATTTCAAATAGAGTTTCAGCCTTTTTCTCTGTATTCCATGGTTATCTTGTACGAAGCCGAATGAAAGAAAATCCCTCTCCTCCGACAGTTTAAGTCCATTTTGCTCGCTTTGTTGTACTGAGAATTGGCTGGGTGAGAACAAATAAAATATTTTATCAATTTATCATAGCACCTTCTAGACCTTTATAAGCCGTATTTTCCACATGTCTGAAGTAAAATCTCACTCCAAAGAGTCATGTAAGGATTAAGAAAGAGATAAAATATAGTAGTTTCATTATGAAGAGAGCTAACAATTTTTATACAGGCCATGATTATGACATAAGTGATTGGTAGCACTTGTTCTTGGGAAATTATTTAAAACAATAATTAGAAGTAGGTGAAAATGAATCTGTGATGGACTGCCAGTCATTAACTTAACTTAGTCCTGGGAACCCTCAGTTGTTGTGAAGGGTTTAAGTGGGGTTTTGAAGGCTTGGTAAGAGGGGAATAACTTAATCATTGTATTTTTGTTAGGGAAAAAGGCAAGAGAATTGAGCTAGGAAACCAGAATTGGGAATTCTGGTCTTAGCCAACTCTAGTTAGTATTTAGCTCTCTGTGAACTTTGGACAGGTGGCAACTTTTGGATCTGTTTGTGGGGGCGGGGGGGAGGGTAACAACAGTTACATAGTACTTAATACATGCACACACTCTTCTGAGTTTTATAT